ATTTGGATCTCAGTTTGTGTGACCTTGGGTAGGTCATTTATCTCCTCTGAGCCTTGATTTCATCATCTGTAAAAGAGGGACAATAACATACCTCATAGGGCTCTTGAGATCCGTCAGTGATGGAATGGCAGTTCAGTGCTGAGGACCTGGCGCTGCTTGGAGCAGTCAGGACTCTTTTGGTTGTAAGTGACAGAACCTAATTTTAAACATCTCCTCTTACAGTTGATTTGTTTGAATCAGGATCCAAAGAAAGTCCACATATTACAGTTGGTTGATATATTTCTTTCTTTCTTTTTTTTTTTCAAGGAAAGATTTGCCCTGAGCTAATATCTGTTCCCAATCTTCCTCTTTTTTTTTCTCCCCAAAGCCCCGGTGTATGGTTGTATGTCTTAGTTGTAAGTCATTCTAGTTCTTCTGTGTGAGCTGCTGCCACAGCAATGGCAACTGACAGATAGGTGGTGTGGTTCCAAGACCAGGAAGCGAACCCAGGCCACCAAAGGGGTGAGTGCTCAACTTTAACCACTAGGCCATCAGGGCTGGCTCAGTTGAGATATATATTTTTTTTTTTTTTTTTTTTTTTTTTTTTTTTTGAGGAAGATTAGCCCTGAGCTAACATCTGCTGCCAATCCTCTTTTTGCTGAGGAAGCCTGGCCCTGAGCTAACATCCATGCCCATCTTCCTCTACTTTATATGTGGGACGCCTACGACAGCATGGCGTGCCAAGAGGTGCCATGTCTGTACCCGGGATCCGAACCGGCGAACGCTGGGCCGCTGAATCGGAACGTGCGCACTTAACTGTTGCGCCACTGGGCTGGCCCCTCAGTTGATAGTTTTCTTAAGACTGTTTTAATATATTTCCCCTCCTTTTCTTTTAATGCCATTTACTTATTGAAGCCAGGTCATTTGTCCTGCAGAATTTTCCACCTTCTAAATTTAGATGATTGCTTCCTCAAGGTGTTATTTACCCTGTTCTTCTACACCTTTACTTCCTATGAACTGGTAGTTAGATGTGGAGGCTTGATTAGAGTCAAGATGATGGGGATGATGATGATGGTGATGATGATGATGATGATGATGATGATTTTGGTAAGAACACTACATAGGTGCTGCTACATACTTACTGCATCATCTTCTAGGAGGCACACAATGTCTGGTTGTCCTGACTGCTGGGTTCTTTTTTAGGCAGTCATGGAAATTTGGTCACAACTTGGGTATTAGATGATGTTAAGAAATTATTGCTGAAATTTTTAGATGTAATTGTGTCTTATATAATGGTATTGTGCTTAGGTAAAATAAAAATCCTTATCTGAAATACAATAACATGGATGAATCCAAAAAAAAAATTATGCTGAATGAAGAAACTCAGACCCATACTGTATGATTTCATTTGGATGGAACATTCTAGAACAGGCAAAACTAATCTATGCTGACAAAACCCAGATCAGTGGTTGCCTGGGGCTGAGGGTAGGGATTGATTATAGAATGGCATGAGGGAACTTTTAGGGGGGATGGAAATATTTCATATCTTGGTAATGGTGGTGATTACATGGGGATATACATTTGTCAAAACTAATTGAGCCATGCACTTAAAATGAGTGTGTTTTACTTTACGGAAATAAAGGTGTATTTTATTGTATGTAAAGAAAGTTGATTTTAAAATAAAATAAAACAAGGTTACAACTAGAATAAAAAGAATCCATTCAAAATACCCACAGAACTGTAACATACCTGGGGAAAAAATATCTAATGATATACAAGACATTTACAGAGAAAATTGAAAATTATATGAAAGGACATAAAAGAAGACAAAATATATGGAGAAATACACTACATTCATGGATGGAAGTCTTAATATCCTTCCCAAATTGATCTATAAAGTGAATGCAATTGTATTAGAAACTCTAAGAGGTTTTAAAAAAGTTTTTACCTGTTAGAAGTAAATATGAAGTATTTAAGTTGAAAGCTATGATGTCTGGGATTTGTTTTATTAGATTCCAAGAAAATAATGTGAAAGAAGAAATAAATCCATATTGGCCACATCTTGATAATTGTTGAGGCTGGGTGGTGGGTGCACACTCTAGAAAGTGAGCAGTGCTGTGCACCTTTTACAGGTGAGGGAACATCGCTACAGCGGGGCAGCAGATGGTGAAGCTGCGGTTCTCCGGGCCTGTCTGACTCCAGCATGCTCTACAGCTCCACTCCTTAGGGTGGGACAGACCAGTGAAGTCTTGCTGGTCTTCTAAGGAGTTTGGACGTAATCCCTTGTTCAGCTGTTCAGTCCCTCTTTACTGAATGTATCTGGCACCTTGGAAGGGCCTCTGGTTCTGTCTCTCTTCATGGTGGGTGTTGCAGTCAGAACTCTTTCAGTTCTAAGTGCCAGAAATTCAACTCAAACTTACTGGCTTATGTAGAAAAAAGGCACTTATGCTTTATGTGACAGAGAGGTTAAAGGGCTCAGGCACAGCTTGATCCAGATACTCAAATGATGTCAAGAATATATCTGTCTTCATATCTTGCCTCTGCAGTCCTGTGTGTGCGCTCATTCTGGCCAGCTTTTCCTGCATAGTGACAAGGTGGTCATTACTAGTGCTGGGCTTAGAACCTCTCAGTCTACTAACTCCCAGTGGAAAGAGGGCTCTTTTTCCTAGCAGCTCCTTGGTGCTTCTGATCATAGACTTGAATAAGTGCCTGTCCCTGAACCAATCAAAAAAGGTTGCTTTGACTGGGGAAGGGTAGGCCACTTGCCTACCCTGGACCCACCTCTTGAACCTCAGAGACTGCCAGTGAGAAAAGTTGGTTCCCCAAGGGAAAATCCAGATGTGGCCACCAGTAAAGAGGAGATGGTAAGATGCCGGGCCAGCAGCACCCCGCAGGAACCCCCTCCCAACACCCCTCTTAGGGAGGCCTCAGCCCCTTCTCAAACACATGAAGCGCCTCATGGCAGGGCCTTCACCACCCACCACTGAACTAATTCTCACTGTTTTTCTTTTTTTTTTTGAAAGATTGGCCCTGAACTAACATCTGTTGCCAATCTTTTTCTTCTTCTTCTTCTTCTTCTCTGTAGTTGTATATCCTAGTTGTAGATCCTTCTGGTTGTGCTGTGTGGGACGCTGCCTCAGCATGGTCTGATCAGCAGGGTCATGTCCGTGCTCAGGATCCAAACTGGCGAAAACCTAGGGCGCTAAAACACAGCGCACGAACTTAACCGCTCAGCCACAGGGCCGGCCCCCTCTCACTCTTGTGTTCCACCACTGGCCTTGCATCCGTCCTCTGCAGCAGCCCCAGACCTGTCTGCTCCCATCCCGCACTGCAGACCAACTGGAATGTGGAAGCAGCGTCTGTGCTTCCCGACCTCTCCCTCTCAAGGCCTGTCAGCCTCTTGCCTTTGGGGGCGTGGTTTTCAGGTCCCTCATCAATGTGCCTGTCTTTTGATTGGAATGAGATGCTCCAGGGCTGAAGGCAATGTGTGCCTCAGTTTCTTCTCTGTAAAATGGAGGTAGTGTCTGCCACCCAGGAGTGTTGTGAGGATTAAACGAGTGTAGCATATTTATAGTGTTCAGAACAGTGCCCAGCACATAGTAGGCACTCCGGAGACGCCTCCCATCATTCTTACCACTTCAGCTGGAGACCGTACATCACAGTCCCTGCTCATCCTTGGCCAGGCCAGGCCAGCAGCAGGCGCTCAGCTACAGTGCAACCCACAGGTTTCTACAATTGAATAATGTGTAGAACATTTTGACATACCTTGTCTCATTTGAGCCTCATAACTTTGTGAGGAGAGCAGAACAAACCACATTTCCCCATTTACAGATGAAGAAACTGAAGCTCAGAGGAGTTAGACCTGTTGCCCAAGGTCACCCAGCCAATCTGTAGTGGAGCTAGGATTTGAACCAGTCCCTTGAAGGCCCACGTTACTCGGCCTTTGTTCAGGCTGCCCCTCAGCCTACAAGACCTCCTCCAGTCATGCCTGCAGGTGCTTTCTCATCCTTTCAGGTCCAGCTCAGATACTCTGTAACAGTAACAATAACAAGAACTAACATTTAGTAAGCACTTGCTACATTCCAGATGAGGCACAAAAGGCTATCCTTTCTCCATAACCTCATGAGGTAGGTGTGACTTTGTTATAGACGGAGAAACTGAGGCTGAGAGAGGTTAAGTAACCTGCCCAAGGTCACTCAGTAGGTGTGACAGCTAGGAGTCAAACTCAGAAGGAAGTCAGTTTCTAGAATAGGTCTTTCTCGCACTCTGCGTTGCTATGTCCATGACGTGGTCTATGAATCCAGGGATGAGAACAAACTCCTCCTTCCTCTTGAGTCTGAAGTGTAGGCTGCTGCCTCTGCTTAGCTCCCTGAAAGCTGTTATTCGCGCCCCTCCTTCCATTAGGCTGAGAGCTCCTTGGGGGCAGGAACCTGACTCCTTCACCTCTACAGACCAGGCACAAAGAGGCGCTCCGGAGGGCCAAATTATTTCATTTGTTCCTTGTGAGGAAGAAGGGCAGAGCTGCTCCTAGATGAAGACATGAGACCCAAGAGGTGAAGTGCCTCTCCCAAGGCCACCCATCTGTAGATGTAGGAGCCTGGACAAGTCCCCAGGTCTCCCGGGGGCAGGTCGGCGCAGGGCTCTCTCGCGGAGCCCCTTCCTGACCTCCATTCCCTGACTGTGGGGGGAGAAAGGGAACACAGCCTTAGCTGGGGTGGGCGTGGGGCCCGAAGAGCGGGCCTGATGGGCGCTTTTATGAACGCCAGGGAAAGGATGGTGAGTGGGCTGGGGATGGACTGAAGGAGGGAAGAAGGAACAGGGTATTTTTGCATTTTGACATTAAAAAAGGTGCAGATTAGATTGTCAGTGACTGGCCAGCAGCATCTGTTTTGATTCGGAATTGGCAGCGTAAGGCGCTGAGCTCCTCCGCGGAGGAAGGGGAAGGCAGGCAGCCGGCTTGGAGAGAGGCGGCGCTTTCGCGGAGGGAAAGGCCATCCCTCTCAAGAGCTCCGCCCAAAGGGGCGCTGCCACCCCTAAGGAGGCCGGCGGCTGCTGCTTCTCATTCATTGTCTTGACAAGAGCATCCTCAGCGGGCAGTCTCTGGCTCCTCCAGCTCCTTCCTTATCCTTCTGCTCTCCCTCCTCCATTTGGGGGTCACTCATCTCAGCAGCAGGTAAGCCTGGGGTGCCCGGAGAAGGGTCTAGGCATGGCTGCCCTGGGCCACCTGTGAGGCAGGCGTGAGCTTGGCTCTGGGGGCGGACAGATTGTCAGGTCGAGCTGGTTCTGAGATAGGGACAGAGCCCATCCACGCCCCGCGTGGAGAGGACTCGCCTGAGGGTGTGGGTGCGCGTCGGAGGGTCCATGTGTGTGTGGGAGAGCGCTGTGAAGAGGCGCGGGGGAGGGACCAGCGCAGCCAAGATGGAGGTGGGGGAGCCGGGGGTCAGGACATGAGCCGGCGGTGACTCTCCCCAGAATGGGACTCTTTGGTATGGGGGTTCGGGGCAGGCTGGGATGAGCCTAGCAGCTGCCCTGAGCTTGGAGACAGGAAGGGGTTGAGAGCAAAACAAGAAAAGACCAAGTTCCCCTTTCCGTGGTTTCCGGACCTAGTACCTGCGGTGGGGGAGGAGGCAGGGTGGGGCGATGACTTCCTGTCCCCCAACCTCCAGTTTGGGGCTCCCCTCTCCCCAGACCCAGGCTTCTCACCTGGGCCTGATGCCCTGCCCCAGACTGCTGTTTCTCACACATGCTCCTCGCTTGCTTCTGGGCGGGCAGACCCAGGAGCCTCCTGGAGAGTCACAGGGTGGGTGAGGGTGGCTGGAGCCCCCAGTGAGAAGGGCCAGGCCCAAAGACAGGGCAGATGGGTGAAGCTGGGGAGGTAGAGTAGAGGCCCTGGGGAGGTTGCCCTCCGAGAGGGAAGCAGAGGCCCCTACACTGGACAGAAGGCGATGCTGTTGGGTACTGAGATGGGGCCTGGAGCCTGGGGGACCAGAGGCAGTCCCCTTGGCTTTGCTTGCTCTCTGCCCAGCCACCGCAGGGGAAAACTATCCTAGCTGGACCTCAGAGAAGTCAGTGTCAGCTTCCCCCTTGCTGTGTATAGTTCCAGTGTGGGTGGAGATGGCACTTAGGGCACCTGCTTGAGCAGAGGCGAGATGCAGAGGAATGGGGAGGAGGATACTAGGACCCGAGCCATCCGCCTATTTCTGATGCCCAGAGACCTACTAGGGAGGCCATCCTGCCTCTGAGGACATGCCTCCTGGGCAGGCCACTTCCTTCTGTGCCTAGCCCTGTGCCAGGAGGCAAAGCCAGTGCTGCCCCTGCCTATAGAAGCTCCCCATGTGGGTATGAGGGATGTGAGGTCTGGATGCTGAGACTGAGAGAACGCACCCTCCAAGCTGTCTGTACTGAAGCCCCCGGAGTGTGAATCATCAGAAGGGAAGGGCTCTGTGTCCATCAGCCAGTCAGTTGACAGATCAGCACTAGGTGCTACCCCACCTGAGGCTCTGCTGTAGAGGCCAAGGGTACACAAGTGGGGCCTGGGGTGGGTGGAGAAGGTTAGATGGGTGTGGGGAGGCAGGCGGAAGGCAAGCATGAGGGTAGCAGGATGTCAGTTACAGAGGACAGGGGTAGGGAGCCCAGGGAGGTGATGCTGGGGAAATTAGCTGAGACCTTAAACTCTAAGCTGAGGGGTGTCCTGGAAGAAACGGGGACCACTGTAAGGTCAGAGTTGACCTGAAGGGGAAAAAGCTCTCAACCCATGTGCTCCCCAGGATGAGCCGACAAGTGGTCCGCTCCAGCAAGTTCCGCCATGTGTTTGGGCAGCCAGCCAAGGCCGACCAGTGTTATGAGGATGTGCGCGTCTCGCAGACCACCTGGGACAGTGGCTTCTGTGCTGTCAACCCCAAGTTCGTGGCCCTCATATGTGAGGCCAGCGGGGGAGGGGCCTTCCTGGTGCTGCCCCTGGGCAAGGTGAGCCCCAGGAGCCCTGGGATCAGCAGTCCTCCACTTAAGGGGGCCTCTGGCTGTCCCATGGCCCCCTGGAGGTCCTGATTAGGTGATTGTCACCAAGCTTTCCTGGGCTGCAGCACTGTCATCTGTAAAACTGAGCTAGGCCAGATGGGCCTTAAGCTTCCTCCAGTTCCTACATGCAGTAGTCATATGGAAACTGAAGCTCAGAGGGAGATGACACGAGAAGGGTCGTGCAGTGAGTTCTTCAGACCCAGGGCCAGGTCTTCCAAGTCTCAGCCTGGGGCTTTCTCCCCCTGGGAGCACAGAGAGGGCTGGGTTGGGGTCTGGGCAGGCCCAGCAGTGCTCTCAGGGTTGGGAGGGACGTCAGGTCTAGGCTTGTCTGAGCCCTTGGAAACCCAGCAAGCAGCGGCCCCCAGTTCACAGGCAGGGATGATGTAAGAGGCCCTCTCCCCTTCCCAGCCCTGCCCTCCCTCTAGTCCTGCTCCCTTTTCCCCCTACTGTCCGCTGACTCCACCCCCAGCACACTCCTGTGCTCTTGGGGGGTGAGACAGGAAGGGGAGACGGGCCCTAAGTTGTTACCTTAAAAGGGCCGATGGAAGCAAATAGAAGAGGAAGTGGTTGTCGGGGTGAGAGCTGGGCCCACGCCCCGCACTCCTCTTCACACAGGAAGCCCTGCTGCAGCAGCTGTCCCCAGAAGTGGCCATTTCCAAACCTCTGCCCCTGCCTGGGGGCCAGCTATGGCAGACTTCCCCACGTCCCTGCCCTTTTGGAAGGACCCAGCCCCACCATTCACACACTTCCCTGGGGAACCCCAACCCCAATACAACCTAGCCCCCCGCTACCTGTCCCAGGCCCAGGGCCTTTGCTTATCATCCCATGGAAGCTTCACTCAGGGAAGCTGGGGTGGGGGTGGGGGTGCCAGCCCTCAGGGCGTGGATGAGAAACTGAGATAAAGACAGGAACTTGGCCAGGGTCTGACAGTAAGCAGGACCAGGGCTCAGCATGGCCCCGGTGCTCAACCCTGCAGCCCATCCTGCACTACTTGTGCCCAGCCCTCCTGAGCTGCCCAGACAACTCTGGGACTGGGGCACAGGACAAACCCTCCCACCCTAGGCCTGCTCTGCCTTCCAGGGACCCCATAGCCTTCCTCTCTGTGCCTCTCTGAAGGGGTGTGGGGAGGTTAGATTGGGTTCAGAGGGCAAAAGCGCCTCCCTCAGAGGCTCTGCTGTGCCCTCTAGACTGGACGTGTGGACAAGAATGCGCCCACGGTCTGTGGCCACACAGCCCCTGTGCTGGACATCGCCTGGTGCCCGCACAATGATAACGTCATTGCCAGTGGCTCCGAGGATTGCACAGTCATGGTGAGTGGTGGGGGGACACGGGCTAGGAGGGGGTTCCAGCATTGGATCTGACATGTGGAATCCCTAAGACTCACTCACTCCTTCTCTCCAGGTGTGGGAGATCCCTGACGGGGGCCTGGTGCTGCCCCTGAGGGAAGCTGTCGTCACCCTGGAGGGCCACACCAAGCGCGTGGGCATCGTAGCCTGGCACCCCACAGCCCAGAATGTGCTGCTCAGTGCAGGTACCTGGGGAGAGAGGAGGGGTCGGCTGGTCACCTGGCAATGAAAGTGGGAGGCTCATGGCTTCTGACACTGGGGCCATCATCCAGGTTGTGACAACGTGATCCTGGTGTGGGATGTGGGCACTGGGGCCACCATGCTGATGCTGGGCACGGACGTGCACCCGGATACAATCTACAGTGTGGACTGGAGCCGAGACGGTGCCCTCATCTGCACCTCCTGCCGCGACAAGCGTGTGCGCATCATCGAGCCCCGCAAAGGCACTGTTGTAGCTGTGAGTTGCTATGAACCGTGACCCCTGACCGTGGGACCTTTACTCCTCCTACCCACCACCAACCAGGCCCCTAAATGCTGCCCTCTCTCGCCTCCAGCAGAGGTCTGGCCCTTAGAGTGTGTGTGTATGTGCCTGACTGACCACCTCCCTTTCCTTCCAGGAGAAGGACCGCCCCCACGAGGGGACCAGGCCTGTGCGCGCTGTGTTTGTATCAGATGGAAAGATCCTGACCACAGGCTTCAACCGAATGAGTGAGCGGCAGGTGGCGCTGTGGGACATGGTGAGTGCTTGGTGGGAGCAGAGTCAGAAGATAGGAGGCCTAGGCCTTGCCCTGCCACTTGCCTGGCTATAAGGCCACGAGCCTCAGTTTACCCACCATGAGATGGAGTTTCTGCCGGTTGGTCTTTCCTGGGTCACTGCTCAGTGAAGAGCACCATCCCTGGGGCCTGACACGGCCCAGCTCATTGTTGCCTCCCACCTGACTTTACAGAAGCACCTGGAGGAGCCTCTGTCCCTGCAGGAGCTGGACACTAGCAGTGGCGTCTTACTGCCCTTCTTTGACCCCGACACCAACATTGTCTACCTCTGTGGCAAGGTGGCCCAGTTGGGAAGGGCATCAGGGGAGGGAGGTGGGCAGTGGGGCTTCGAAAGGACCACAGCTGGAGGCATCTGTCAGTATTGATCGTCCCTTGCACCCACCACCTGCAGGGTGACAGCTCTATCCGGTACTTCGAGATCACTTCTGAGGCCCCATTCCTGCACTATCTCTCCATGTTCAGTTCTAAGGAGTCCCAGCGTGGCATGGGCTACATGCCCAAACGTGGCCTGGAGGTGAACAAGTGTGAGATTGCCAGGTGATTCCCCCCTGACTCTGACCTGAGCATGCTCCTTGGGCAGTGCTGACCCCACGCTGACCTTCAGTCCCAGCCCAACCATGCTGTGGGCATTGCTCACCTTCCTGTTTCCACAGATTCTACAAGCTGCACGAGCGGAGGTGTGAGCCCATTGCCATGACAGTGCCTAGAAAGGTGATGTTCCCATGTCCCTCCCTGGGCTCTGGGTGGGGCACTGACCTCATGGAGTTGCAGGGTGGTGCTGTGGCTGAAGCACTCTCTTAACCAGCCTTGGCCTTGCCCACAGTCGGACCTGTTCCAGGAGGACCTGTACCCACCCACTGCAGGGCCGGATGCTGCCCTCACAGCTGAGGAGTGGCTGGGGGGTCGGAATGCCGGGCCCCTCCTCATTTCCCTCAAGGATGGCTACGTGCCCCCAAAGAGCCGGGAGCTGAGGGTCAACCGGGGCCTGGATACTGGGCGCAGGAAGACAGCACCAGAGGCCAGTGGCACTCCTAGCTCGGTGAGAGGTTGATGGGAACCTGGGAATCAAGATGGGAAGACAGGGTAGGGCAGGGGCTGCTACACTACTGATGTGGTCATTGACCCAGTGGAAAGAGGCTGGCATTTGGGGCATCCTAAACTCACAATGTTGGGGATCCCTTGGGGGCCGGGAGTGGGTAATCCTGAGGCCTCAGAAAACAGGTTTCAGGTTTATAGGCCTCCAGCTCTCTGGGCAGCAACTGGCTGAGAGAGGGAAGGGCTTGAGCCCTGGGGCTCTTGGGAGGGGGCTGAGGGGATGGCAGGGTAAGGGGAACCCAGGGAAGCTAATGCAGCACTGGACCCCCAGGATGCTGTATCCCGGCTGGAGGAAGAGATGAGGAAGCTCCAGGCCACTGTGCAGGAGCTACAGAAGCGCTTGGATAGGCTGGAGGAGACAGTCCAGGCCAAGTAGAGGACCCCAGGGCCTTCAGCTGGGACCCATGGCATCACCACCTTCCCTTCCATTCATACTCCCTACTCCTCAGGCCACAATGGCACATAAAAGAAAAATAATAATAAAATGGCTTTATTTTCTGATATCTCTCAGACTCTGATGCCTGGTCACCTAGATGCTGGGTCTGCTGAACTGACCTGCCCTTGAGCTTCCCTCTCGGTAGCCTTGATGGGACTGTTCCATGGCAGGGGCTGGGGGATGCCCTAGACCACAGGAAAAGGCCTTGGTGGGTGGGAGCCACTCCGTGCTGATGTGGGTTGGAAGCCTGCTCTGTTTCCCAGCTCCTTCTCAGAGATAGCAGGTCTGAGATACTCAGGGCCCTAGCCTGGAGTCTCAGTAACTCCTATGTTTACCCCAAACCTGTCCTTCCTAGTCAACCAAAACAGCAGGTTGCACGCAACTGTACCGACACTGTTGCTTATGGAGAAATGAAACAAGTAGCACTTACATGACATCTTTCAAACTACAGGCCCAAGGGATCAAAGTAAGGGGACCTTTTGTAAGGAAAAAGCTTAAAACCAAAGCAATGGCTCAACTCTAGTTTACAGGTGAGGAAACTGAGGCACAGAGCAGGAGAGGGGCTTGCCAAAGGGCAGATCCTGAGCCGTGACTTGAGTCTCCCCTTCTGGTTCAGAACCTTCCCCACAGTGCTGCTGCTTCTTGAGCCCTTACTGTGGCCTCCACCTGGCCTGGCCTTTGTGACAGGGACTTGAATAGATCTGTCAGGCGCTATCAGTACGGGGCTTGAAGTCGCTTTCTGATGCCCAACTTAGCAGGTGACCCCCTGAGCTGGGAGACATTAGGGATGGGTGTCCTGGCCACAGCAGGGTTGGTTCATCCACGCAGGGACCACAGCGAGGACTAAACGCCCCACTCGCAGCCCCCTCCCCCGTCTTCAGTGTGCTATAGGAACTACCTGGGTAGAGAGCTGCGCAAGGCAGCCATACAAACATCCCTGGCTGCCCATTTTGGTCTCAACCTCTATTCAAGCGACATACCCTGGGCAAGTCACTTCTCTCCAGGCCTCAGCTGCCCATCTACAAAACGGGGAGGGATACCACCACAGCTCTGTGAACACAGTGCGTGGATCCAATGAGGGACGTGGTAAAGACAGAATCAGAAGATCTGGAGCCTGGGCCTCTTAAAGAGGTGAGGTTTCTTATCTGAGCCTCTCTGGGCATAATGGGCCCTTCTGAGTAGATTCAGTCACTCCTCCTGGCCCAGGGAAACTGAAAAAAAAAGTTCAGAAACGATTCCTGGACCCAAAAGGAACCTGTCATCACCATGACTTCCAGCTTTACCAGCCCATTCTCCCTGATAGGAGCGAGAGGGAGGTAGGGGGTGGAGGTAACTTAGGGGCCAAGAAACTGGCCTTGAAAACAGGGGAACAGGGTGGGTGGGATGGTTGAAACCTGCCATTTCTCACTCCGCAAGAGCCCTGCCCCCAACTGGGTCACTTGCTATCCCTCCTGGGTCTTAGGGACCTCATCTGTACAAGGCCTTATCAACCCTGGCACCTGTGTTTAAGACTGATCATAGGGGCATCACCTGCCCCAATTCTGCGTCTCAGGTCAGCTTTATATTCCTTCTCTAACCCTATTCCCTGCCCACACCTCCATTCTTGCAAACCTCATGGTCTCCCCGGGGCAGCTGTGGCCACATCAAGCCCAGGGCTAACGGGTCACTGGGCCCTCTCCAGCGGGCCAGAAAACATCAGCATTCCAGGTGTTGGGGAGCTGCTGCTGGAGTACTACGTCCCTGAGGCTGTGAGGGGCTGGGGGAACTTGCGGGGGAAGTGTGGAAGTATCATGCCTCTGACACTGCAATGATGCTGGGGAGAGGGAGAGATTTGTTAAATTGGCCAGGGTCCTGAAACTCTAAGCACCTTCTCATCTGTGCATCTTGAATGCAGGCAGAGCAAGAATCTCCAGCAATGGTCAATGAATGGATGGGTAGGGTGGGTAGTGGCAGTACCCCTAAGGGTCTACCAGAAATTACAGAGAAGGCCTGTGAGGCCTGCCCTGGAAGGGACCTTAAGAATACAATGTGTTATAAGTGGGGACACAGGCCTACCTGTGGAGAGGGACTTGCCCATGGTAAAACCATGGACTGTGGCAGGGCAGGGAGAAGCTAGGCTCTAGACTCAGCACCCCTCTCACCCTCCCAAACACAACACACTGACACAGAAGCTGGCCCTGATTCATAATTTAATGGCTGTGCTGGTCCAGGTCCCTTATTTCTGCCGCTCACGGGCCCACTGCTCTGGGGTTAGGGTTTTCTGCTCAAAGGCATGGATGTGCGGGAGTTCTTCTGCTAAGCACGTGTTCACCAGCCTGGAGAGAGAGACGGCGTTAGGAAAATGCAGGCTGGGACCTGGGACACAGTCCCTGAAGGTAGGGTGACCAGGGAGGCTGGAGGTGTCTCCCAGGTCGTAGTCCCCGGGAGCTGGGAACAAGCTGGGAGAGGGCCAAAGTCACAATACTTGAAGCAGGAGCCACGAAGGCGGGATCCTTGGGGTCGTGGTCCACGGTGCTGGGCCGAGTTGGCCCGGGTGAGGGAGTTAAGCTGCAGGGAGTGGCCGGGGTATCGTCCCGGAGCTGGGACCGCGCTGAGCGAGGTGCTCCCAGGGCCTCACCGGTGTCTCTGAAGCAGCGGCTTCCCCTGAAACTTGGCCGACACCACCAGGACTCGGAAACTGGACGCGCAACGGTTGGGAGTCGTGTCCTCCACTTCCTATGGGGCAGAATGGTGTGGATGGTGCTAAACCCTGCCCCCAGCAGCCCTTTTCCCCTCGTCGGGCGAGTCCAGGCCGCTCAACTCACCACGTGCTCTGCCTCCAGGTCCCGCTGCAGCTTCTCCCGGAGGTATTCGGCGCTGAGCTCCATCGCGGCAGCCCAGCGAGGGCAGCAGCCCGGCGGGGACGCACGACCAGCTCAGACCCCGGCCACACTGCTTCCGCCCTTCCTGACGCCACTTCCGCCGAGGCCTCTACTTCCGCCCTTACTAAGGCGTCTGTAAACCAAGCACTTCCGCCCTCTCGCAAGCCCAGCTTTCCAACGGTCATGGGTGTCCGCGCTTACCATCAGTAAGCCAATCAGACTCTGCATAAGCACGGCCTCGGCCCGAGCGGACGCTAATTGGTGCCCGCCGCCTGCATAGCAGCCGGTTGTGTGGGCCGGTTTAAACAACCTAGCTCCAGCTAGGGTAGGGGCACGAACCTGCGTTACCGTGGTCTCTAAGGTAGCTCGGGATCGCCCCCAAGCGCTTTTTCCCAGACAAGCATCTTGCGGCCCAGGCCACGCAGCCCTCCCCGAGGCCATTGGCCACAGCAATCAACCCAGAAGTCTAGATGGGCCCTGCGGGGGGCACGGCGAGGCCCGGGTGCTTCTTCGGCGTCTACCTGCTCTACTGCCTCAACCCTCGGCACCCGGGTCGCGTCTACGTCGGGTTCACAGTCAACCCTGCTCGTCGGGTCCAGCAGCACAACGGGGGCCGCAAAAAAGGCGGGGCCTGGCGCACTAGCGGGCGCGGGCCTTGGTAAGAGGGGACGGATCATGGTCAACGGGAGGGCTTCAAGGAGGAGGAGGGCCCGGCGGAGGAGAGGCCTGCTGAGAGGGGCGGGGCCCCTGTGGGGCTGAGAAACAGGACCGCGGTGGGGAGGCTAGTGACGAGGGCCGGCCTACCACAGGGGAGGAGCCTGGTGGAGAGGCGGAGCCCTGTGAAACAGGGCAGTGGGACACAGAGGCGGGGGTTGGGTAGAAGGGGACTGATGATCCAGGCTTGGTCCAGCGACAGGGGGGCTGGTGAACAAGGCTGGGGCTGCAATAGAGAGAACCTGGAGGCAAGAGAAACTGAGGATAGCAACTGAGTACCTGTGCTGGAGGCAGGGCCTGAGGTTGGCAGGTGCGAGGGTATGTACCTTCCCGAAGGCGGCCGGGCCTCGTGGGCTGGGCTTGAAAACAGGTGTGAGGACTCCACTCTCGGGTAGGACTAGAGGCTAACCCTGCCGAGGGGATTCAGCTTGACTCGGGATGGGGTGGGGTAGGTGAGGTGGGGGGCTCACAGGTCGCGCCTTCGTTCTCTTCCCCAGGGAGATGGTGCTCATCGTGCACGGCTTCCCTTCCGCTGTGGCCGCCCTTCGGGTAAGGAAGGAGATGGGGATGCGGGGAGGACGGGCTGGGGCTTGGGCCCTTCCCCGGGCGGCCCTGAAGCCGGGTACTCCCTGCCTGCAGTTCGAGTGGGCCTGGCAGCACCCTCACGCCTCGCGCCGCCTGGCACACGTGGGTCCGCGCCTGCGCGGCGAGGCGGCCTTCGCGTTCCACCTGCGCGTGCTGGCGCACATGCTGCGCGCGCCGCCCTGGGCGCGCCTCCCGCTCACCGTGCGCTGGCTGCGCGCCGACTTCCGCCGTGATCTCTGCCCGCCGCCGCCGCCGCACGTGCCGCTGGCCTTCGGGCCTCCGCCGCCGCGGGCCCCTGCCCCTAGGCACCGCGCCGTTCCCTTTGCCGACTCCGAGCCCACGCAGGACCAGGACGCCAAGGCCCGCTGCACCCTGTGCACGCGTGCACTCCAGGTGAGAGGCGCTCCAGGGGAGACGCTTCACCTGGTCTCCAGGGATGGGCGGGTCTAGGGTTCAGACGACTGAGGACGGAACTGTTTATTGAGGGACCAGGCAGCTTACTGACACCCCTTGTCCGCTCTGCCCCTCTTCCTTCACACCGGTACCCTCTTGCTGAAAGGGCCTTTGCCGTTCACCTTTGACTGGAAAGTTTTATGTAAAGCCCCTGGAACAGGGTCTGGTCCACAGAACTTTTCATGACTATTAGCGACATCATTCTACCTTGTTTTTTCTCTCAACCTGCTGCCACTTCTGACAGGATGAAGAGCACCCTCTGTGTTGCCCCCACCCTGTCTGCCCCCTAAGGGCCCATGTGATCTGCCTTGCAGAGGAGTTCCTGCAGGAGGAGCCAGAGCAGCTTCTGCCCCTAGAGGGCCAGTGCCCTGCGTGAGTCCAGCACCCCTCCCCTAAACCCTACCCTGGTTTAGCTCTAGGAAGATGGTGCCCAGTTGTTCAGGTCCAGGCCCGAGGCAGCTGAATCCTCATCTTGGCACCCAGGGCCTAGCCTGGAAGCTTGTGATGCCTGACTCTGTGTCTTCTACCAACTGCCCGCCTTGGTAGCTGTAAGAACTCACTGCTGTGGGGAGATCTGATCTGGCTGGGTCGGATGGGCACCGAGGAGGAGGACGACGACTTGGAATCAGAAGAGGTGAGAAGTGCCTTTGGCCCCAGCCTCCTACCCTACTCCGTCCCCTAGGCTTCCTTTGACCAACCCTTTTGTCCCCACAGGAGCACTGGACAGACATGCTGGAGATCTGAAGCTCAGCATCCCCAACCCACTCCTTTTCTGTGCCATCCCTGCAGGTCTGGGCAGTTTTTACTTGAGTACAATAAAAAGTCTGAGTTAAGCGTACCTTCTAGTGTGTTTGCTGGGGGGTGGAGCTAGGAGCAGACACCCTGCCAGTCACTGGGGTCTGAGGAGAACAGAGGATGGGGGAGGGGCTGCTGGCCCCAGCGTGGACCAGCCTCTCCTCTGCCTGGAGGTTCCCCTGCCTCAGCTTTCCCCAGCAAGCTTTTTCTGAGGTCACACATTTTTTGAGGGCTTGGGAGACTTGGACCCTTGACTCAGATCCCATCCACTTACAGTACCCAGCTTGACTTTAGACTTTAAAACAAATAGTAAGGACGAAGGCTGAGGAGGGCAGGGGGGATGCTCCCCTCAGATGGGGACCTGTGGCTCTCTAAGTCCCAGCTCCTTGTCTCTGTCTGTGGACCCCTCTTCAAACCCAGGGAAAGAAAAGCACCTTCCAGGGACCACTGTTCTTCCAGCAACCATGAATCAGGCTCCAGGAGGTCCCATGGCAGCCGTGGAGCTGGACTCACTCTGAGGGTTGTTAGATTCCAGCGTTCTTGCTCTTTCCTATCTTATGCTGCCTCAGAAACAGCTTGCCCTACCTTGCTCTGCCCCTAGCCCCATCACCCTGCCTACCCACAGCACTCTGGACTGGCCTTGTGGTCAGAGCCAGCAGTTCCTGGAATACCAGGGCTGCCGGGGGCCTGTGGGCCACCCCCGGCCTGAATCCTTGGCGTCTTTAAGACTGGCCTGGAACCAGCAGCCTACCTTGACACTTCATGCCTACCTTGAAGTGTCCACTTTTCCTCTCCACTCCTCTGCCATCTCTAGACCGGGTCAATTAGAAAAAGCTGTCTGGGGGCTGGCCCCGTGGCCGAGTGGTTAAGTTCTCACGCTCCGGTGCAGGCGGCCCAGTGTTTCGTCAGTTCGAATCCTGGGCGCGGACATGGCACCGCTCATCAAACCACGCTGAGGCAGCGTCCCACATGCCACAACTAGAAGGACCCACAACTAAGAATATACAACTATGTACCAGGGGCTTTGGGGAGAAAAAGGAAAAAAAATAAAATCTTTAAAAAAAAGAAAAAAAGAAAAAGCTGTCTATTGGCCTACCCTGCAGGGGTGGAGTTTAGAGGGGAGCTCAGGAGCCAGGATTACACAAAAATCCAGAAAGAAAACTAGTGGGCCCTTTGTCTAGTTTCCGTCTTTTGTTTTCTACATGCTAAACCCACATCTTGGGTTTTCTAGCCAGTCTAAGCTTGGCCCCAGCTGGGGTGTTAAGGAGGGTAGCACAGAGGGTTCCTCCCATCCCAGACTCTGCCCTTTGCTTCCTGGAGGACAGCCAAGTCCCAGTGCTAACTCCAGATCCCTCCCACTTTGGCCCTATAAAACCTTCAGCCCAGTGACAAGTTCTGCATTCACCACACTGCACCTGCGCCAAGCCACAGCACAGCGAGCTGGTCACAAGGCCACAATCAGAGAGATCAGGTGAGTGCCAAGGTGGGGACCAGCTGGGTCAGATCTCCCTCACTCTGCACTGTTAGCTCCTATTCTATCACTTGATCACTCTGCCCCTGCCTCTAACGTCCCTGTCGTTTCCCCATGGACAGCCAACTCAGTCCGCCAGCTCCAGCCCCCACCTGGCCGCTTCCGCTGAGTTACCACAGTTTTGCTCATTCACATACCACACCCTCACTGTGTATAACTGCTCAACTGGCTGTGTTATCCCCAAGCCAAGATGGAGTGTGGCTGCGCACATGGGATCACAGACCGGGCTGGCCTTTGGGAGGTTTCCATACGTGAGGGGCCCGGGGGCTCTAGGAGGGGATGTCAGGGAGAGGAGCCTCTTGGGAGTAGGCCAGGAGCCATGGCAGGAAGGAGTAAGAGAGAAAACTGGCTGGCACGGAGTTAGGACTGGTAGGTCCTAGAGGAGTAGTTTTTTCTAGTGCACGTTGGAATCTCCTGGAGAGATTCCAAAAAAACTGATATCTGGGTCTCATACCCAGAGAGTGATTTAATTGGCTTGGGGTATGTCCCGGCAGGCACTGGGATTTTTCAAAACTCTGCTGGTAAGTCAAAGGTACAGCCAGCTGACCCATTGCACAAGCGTTAGAGCTGGCTTTAAATCCAGCTTCGCCCCTCACCAGCTTTGTGGGTATGGGCAAGTCACTCAGCCTCAGCCTCCCTCAGCCTCAATTTCCTCATCTTAAAGCAAGAATTCAACAGACGGTGCCTCAGCCTCAATTTCCTCATCTTAAAACAAAGCAAGAATTCAACAGACGGTGGTGTTGTAATATTGTTGAGGGAAGTAGGCCACATTCTGGTCCCTGACACGGCAGCATGGAGCTGATCCAGGACACCTCCCGCCCACCACTGAAGTATGTGAAAGGGGTCCCTCTCATCAAGTACTTTGCAGAGGCACTGGGGCCACTGCAGAGCTTCCAAGCCCGGCCTGATGACCTGCTCATCAGCACCTACCCCAAATCTGGTAGGTGATCCTCATTACCACCCACCCCTCTCCTGGGCTGCAGTCCCCACCTTGGGCCAGCAAGGGCATGCCCTCAGCCCTGCTCACTTCCTGTTTCCCTCCCTCTCCAGGCACCACGTGGGTGAGCGAGATCCTGGACATGATCTACCATGGTGGTGACCTTGAAAAGTGTCGCAGGGCCCCTATCTTCATCCGAGTGCCCTTCCTTGAGTTTAAGGCCCCAGAGATTCCCTCAGGTGTGTGGTGGGGTGCTGGGGGCAAGTGGAGCAGAGGGAGGTAAGATCAGGGCTCCAGCTCAGACCTTTCCCTACCCATGGCTTAGGTGTCGAGGTTCTGAAAGATACACCAGCCCCACGGCTCCTCAAGACACACTTGCCCCTGTCCCTGCTCCCCCAAACCTTGCTGGATCAGAAGGTCAAGGTGAGTGGCAAAGGAAGCCTGGGAAGGAGGCTGCTTGGGCCATTCTAGCTTTGCCCTTGTCTTCTGGAAAGGTCTCCTTACTGCCTCCACTGGTCTCACCTTAAGCAGGGGAGGCCATCTGCCTCACACTCTGGTGGGGTCACAACCAGTGAAAGTGAGCGCCCTCTGTGCAGAGCTGAGAAAAGCAGTCTGGGTGCCCACAGGCCCGTAGAGGAGGGGGCTGGTGGGCATCTGGCACGCCTTGCTCCAAATCTGGGTATGGTGGCATTGAGGGGATTAGATTAGTATAAAATATGGTTCCAGGGACCAGCTAGGACTTTGGCATCAGAGCAGGGTTCAAAGTATCAGCTCAGTTGCTCCCATACCACAGGAGCATGAGCAAGTCAGCCTCTAAGCCTGTTTCCCCCATGGCCAAACCAGGAGAGAACCTCCCTCACAGGGATGCCATGAAGGGTAGAACACCTAGTGCCCGGTGTGCTGTGTGGTAATGACATGGGGGATGGGGGGTCATCCACTCCTCCAGGTGGTGTACCTTGCCCGCAATGCAAAGGATGTGGCCGTCTCCTATTACCACTTCTACCGCATGGCCAAAGTGCACCCTGACCCTGGCACCTGGGACAGCTTCCTGGAGAAGTTCATGGCTGGGGAAGGTGGGCCTGACTCTGGAGGAAGGAGGGGGTGGAACTGAGGGACAGCCAGCTCAAACTAATACCAACCTCTGTGTCTGTGTCCCCTGCCCTTTTCCCCAGTGTCCTACGGGTCTTGGTACAAGCACGTGCAGGAGTGGTGGGAGCTGAGTCACACCCACCCCGTCCTCTATCTCTTCTATGAGGACATGAAAGAGGTGAGACCACTTGCTACCACTTCCCTCCACGTCACACATGGGGAGGCAGGAACCTCACGGGCACTGGCCAAAGCCCCCCAAATTCCCTTCCCTATGGCAGTCCCCACCCCGCCTTCCCTGCCCAGGACTCAGAGCTGCAGTGCCATCTTGGTGGCAGCACTTTGCACAGCTCTTAACCTCCTAGCGCCTGGGTCAGCAACACGTGCAACTCTCCATCAGCCGTTTACTGCCATTGCTTCTCCCTGGGGCCAGTCAGGAAAAGAGGACTGTCCTGCCCTCACCCCTAAGGAATCAGAGCTCATTCCAAGATCACAGGGCATAAGGCAATTAAATTTGCCCCAGGGAAAGAGGAGCAGACAGTCAAGGTGCTGGGTCTGAGAGGTCTCTAAGCAGCAGTAGGAGATCCCAGAGAGGTTAGAGAGGGGCCTCCCTTTTGTTTGCTCAATGAGCAATCCAAACCTCCACTGAAGAGCTCTTCTGCTGCTCCAGAACCCCAAAAAGGAGATTCAGAAGATCCTGGAGTTTGTGGGGCGTTCCCTGCCAGAGGAGACCTTAGATCGCATTGTCCAGCACACATCTTTCAAGGAGATGAAGAAGAACCCCATGGCTAACTACAGCACCATCCCCTGTGACATCATGGACCACAACATTTCTGCCTTCATGAGGAAAGGTGGGTGCCCGCCCAGGATGGGCATTTGGGGAGGCGAGGGTGGAGGCGGCAGCCAGAGCCAGCCCTGAACCACACAGGGCCTCCTCTGTGGCCGGGACCCCCAGCTTCCCTCCTTCCTTCCTTCCACAGGCATCGCGGGGGACTGGAAAAACACCTTCACCGTGGCCCAGAACGAGCACTTTGACACCGACTATGCTGAGAAGATGGCAGGCTGCAAACTCAGCTTCCGCTCAGAGGTGTGAGTGGTGTTCATCAGGCCTTCTCCAAAGGGAGTGGTGTGAAACAAGCCCGATCACAGCCTCAAGAATAAAATAAATTTGTGTCACACGGAGAGGCTCTGTTGGAAGCTAAGAGCAAACCTGAGCTAAAACAGTAAATGCCCACTGGGACCAAATGAAGCCATTTCCTCTATGGCCTCCAACTTGCCCTACACGGGGAGGGGAAGAAGGGTCTGGAAAAGTAAAACCAGGAGACATGGGCAAGGGGGAAGAATATTTATTTGATCACAAAATCTTTTGTTGCATTCCCCCTTGAAGGTGGCAGGAGATTGCGAATCTGCCACCCTGCTTCACTTTTTCTTGGGCTCCTTACAAGCCACCACGTACCTCTGGGCCACATTGAGGGGAGGGGAGTAACCATCTGCATAGGAGGTGTCTTCAAACAGGACCGAATAGTCATCCTGGGGCTGTGGCAGGGGGCAGACAGGAGGGGCTGGTCAGAGGCCACCAGGTGAGGCACCCCCAGGCCTTGACCAACAGGAACCTCTGGTGCATGGGCTCCCAGCCGCCTTTCCTCATCTTCACTCATGAAGTCTAGATGTTTGAACCCAGTCCCTGCCACTACAGAGCTCTTTTCTCAGCAACAGAAGGCCAAGGGCAGGGGATAAAGAGTGGGGAGAATGGAGACTACCTACATGGGCGGGTCATAACTGGAGGCTCTGGTGCTTTTTGGGGACTCTGCTTAAGGGGATCAAGGACAACCCAGAGGGTAGCAGCCAGGGATCCTGGAGAGAGGGGAGAACTGCCATTGGGTGATGGGTGACCAGGGTGCCAGCAATGTCACAGGAGCACAAGAGAGCCTCAGGCCAAGGAAGGGCAGTGGTGCAGGAGTCAGGGGTGGGAAGACAGGCCCTGGGCATGGCGCTTCCTGTTTCAGGGCTCAGGCTGCTCATCTCAGTGCAAAAGTGAGGTTAGCTCAGAGGCCACACCAGGTCCACTCCACTCAGGGCTGGCTAAGGCTCTGAAGGTTCAAAAGAGGTCAGCTGGTGCTGCCCTGGAGGACAGGGCAGGAGGGGAGTTACAGGGCAGAGTGTAAGCAGAAGAGGGAGGGCAACTCGCAGGACCCTCCCAGCCCAGAGAGGCCATAAGATGAGGACAACAGGGGAAGGCAGTGAGAAGATGATCCCATGACCCATCTGGTCAGCCCCGTCCTGGTGTCAAGCAGGGTCTCTCCCATGGGGGCTGCCTTACCCGTTGTGGGGGTGTGTGGATCAGAGCACGATAGAAGCAGGTGGTTTGGGGATACAGGGCCAGCACGAGCTGCTCCTTCTGGAATAAGGCTTCGGGGTCCGTCTCAGGGTTGGCTTTCCACTGGGGCAGTGGGATGATACGCCGCCGGCTCAGGGTGTGTCTCCTGGAGGGGGAGCTTAGGTCAACCCATAGCCAGGTGAGGGGCTCCTTCCCAGCAGCTCAGCTGTCCCCAAGGCTTCCGCGGCCCCTCCCTGGCCAGCACACTCACTCTTTGCCTTCTTCATCAATGTCATCTACCTCATACCTACGGGTGAACAAAAGGAAAATGGTGGATGCAGGGAGACGCAGAGTCCAAGTTGGGGAGCCATGAGGAGGGGAAGGAGGAGGGCGGGGAAGAGAAGTAGCCCAAGGAGACGGCTGCCTCCCCTGCCATCTCCGTCCCTGCAGGCACCCTCGGGGAAGCTTTTCTCCCATCCTGCAGATGGGTGAAAGAGGGGCAAGTGTGATGACAGGAGAACAGCCCACAGGGCTGGGTGTCCACTCACTTGTTGGTGGCATGGCTGTAACTGACCACTTCGGCCAGGATCCACTGCTCATCCCCATCCACAGCCTTGACTCGGGCAGCCACCTTGTCTCCAGGTTTGGCCACGTAGTCCCCAGAGGCCGGAATGGCCCCACAGAGGGGTGGAGGCCTGAGGGTGGAATAAAGTGTTAGTCCCAGCCCCTCCCTTGCCAGCTCCCCCCACCATGGACCCGCCCTCACTTGTCACCAGGCTTCCCGATCCACAGGGGCAGGGTCATGGCTGACTGCTGCAGCAGGGTCATCAGCACCCCCCTGCGCATGGTCTTCCGAGGGGGCTCCGAGTCATTATACAGGCCCGCAATCTTGGCCGCTGTGGGAAGGAAGTGAGCCCCTGAGGCAACAGGGACAGGGTGCCTGTCCCCAGACCCACCCTAGCATGCCCGCACTGAGCTGTCAAAGGAGCTCAACCTGGAGCCCCACCTCCTGAGTTAGCACCGAGGGCTTAGATGTGATCCCTGCCCCTTCCACTAGATGCCCCGGTGAGGGAGACTGCCAGGCTACACTAACAGATGGTGAGACGTCAGCTTAGTGGATTTGCTTGCGGGGAAGGAACTAGAAGCGGGTAAAAGGGGGGCTTCTGAGGTGCTGGTCATGTTCTGTCTCTTGATCTGGGTGCTGGTTACGTCCATTTGTTCAGTGAGCGACGCTGTCACTCAGCTGTACATACACTCACGTGCTTCAGCAAGAGAAGTGGGAAAGCCTCGACTATCTGGAAGGATTTGGACCACACCCTGGGTAAACTCCACCTGAAAGGCCGGCTTCAAGACACCCAGGATGTGGCTCTCAAAAAACAGTGAGGTTCTCACCACTGCGAGGAATGGAAGTCGGGGAAGGAGGAGGCTGACTGCGCCCGGCAGTAGAGGATGTGAGAGGAACATGAGGGCGCGGGGCACACCGTCCTGGTCTGCAGAGGGGGAACCGGGGAGGCCCTGCCTGAGCACCCGGCACGATCTCCATTCCCTTTCCAGCCCCAGGGCCCAGGTGCGCCTCTCGGTCAGAAGCCCATGGGATGATCACACCAGGCTGAGGTTACAGGCTCCCCTGCAGGGAGACATACTGCTGCTCTCAGGAACCCGCACTCCACCTGGTTAGGGAACGCCAAACTTGTCTCTAACTCACCAATCCGCCTCTCTTCCAACAGAGACTTGATTTCCGCAATCTTATCTAGGGCTTTCCGGAGGATGCTGAGGTTGGGGAGAAGGGAGAGAAGAGCGATGGATGAAGCACGAAGCATAGACTTCCTTTTCTGGTTACGGCAGGCTGGGTAACTCAGGCCAACCCTACTGCCAAAAACTGGAAACCCTACATCTGTTTTTTAATCTGAAAAGTATAAAAGAACTGATGAGACAGTAAAAAGTAGCAGGCCAAAACATCTAAGGATCCTAGAGACATAAGCAAAGCAGAGAGAGCTGCCATTGCCTGAGTTTGACAAATCCTGAAGAAGTGTTGCTGAGTGCCGGCAGCCTCGAACAAGCTCCCGAGATAGGGAGGACAGAAGTTCAAACTCGGGGTCTGCCCAAGGTGGGACATGTACTAGGAGACACTCCAGAGGACTATGGGGAGTTGTCTCGACTCAGAGCAGGGCCAGGTGGAGGGAACGTGTCCCTGAAAGGCTGCAGCCCCAGAAAAATCTCTGGAGTTAGTTTACAGGGGCTCAAGAGTGGCTGGGATCCAAGCAACCTGGCAGATGTGAACACAAATCCTTGCCAGAGGAAGGCTTCTTTATCCTAGACCTCGGGGAATGTCCCCCAAAGAATAGTTCAACAGCAGTTAGCAGCACAGACTCCACTTTGTGTCATTTACTCTCCAGTCCATTCCTCTAGCAAACGTTTAGTAAACGCCCCCATGGTTCTGAGGCCTTTGTTCATCAGGGGGGAGACACATAAGAACACAGCCCAATACAGTGTCACAGAAGGTGTCCCAGTGCACGTCCCAGAGGGCATGACTCGTGTGGAGCTCATCAGGCAGAGGCCAGAATAGGGGCAGCTTTGGCAGAGGGAACTGGGCAAATCAAAGCAGGGAGGGTGAACACTTTGCCCCATGTGCTCAGGTAGTCGCAGTTCACCATGGCTGGGGCAGGATGCATGGAGGGCTCAGCTAGTGCGCCCACAGGCTTGTGAGCCCTGGGACACAGGGCTGTCAGCATCCAGGACAGCAGAGACAGAGTAAAACCCAGGAGGCCAAAGGGGACTTTGGAAGTCTGGTCATTGCTGCTGGGCCTGCTTGGAGGACAGTTTTATGTAGCATGTCCTAAGCTGTATTCTGTGAGATATTAATGCAGTGGTTCTCAGCTCTAGCTGGACATCAGAATCCCCTGGAAAGTTTTAAAAAATCCCAAATGTTTTAAGCAAGAATCATAAAGATACCAAATCTACTGGGTCTGATGTGAAATGGGACATTTACATAGTCTCAAAGTACCTCCCTTAAGACACTTACTAAGTATACAATGGAAAAGAGCAATAACTGGACATGGGAGAAACCAGGAAGAGAACGCCTTATTGCATGGGACAGTGTCTTGTGCCTTCTGATATGAGGCACCAAGGACAACATCATTCCTGTGCTATTACTGCCGAGAGTGTAAAACCTGAATCTAATCGTGAGGAACGTCAGACAAACCCAACTGAGGAGCAGTGTACAAGATCACTGGCCTATCATCTTCAAAATGTCAAGGTCATGAAAGGCAGAGACAGCCTGGGAACTGTTCCAGATTGAAGGAGACTAAAGAGACATGATAAATGCTGTGTTGATCTGTACTAGAAAGATGTTCTTTTCTTTTGCTATAAAGGACATGAGTGGACAGTGATAAAATCTGAATAAGATCTGTAAGTGAATAGTTTTATATCAGTGTTAATTTCCTGACTTTGAGAAATGTACCGTGGTTGTATACGAGTGTCATTGTTTTTAGGAAATACTGACTGATGTATTTGGAGGTCAAGGGGCATCATGTCTGCAACATAAACAATTCAGGAAAAAAAAACAGCGTGTGTATATATAGAGAATGATAAAGCAAATGTGGTAAAATATTACATTTATGTAAGTCTGAAATTACACAAAAATAAAAGGTTAAATCAGTATCAACGTCTGAGCTCCACCCCAATTAAATCAGAAGCTTGGGGCATTGCCAGACTTGAGAGCCAGTGTGTAAATGTATTCCAGGGCCAAGCAACTTGGTGAAATACTGAGTGAAAGAAATTGTTATTGCAGAGCTTGGCAGAGCCTTCAATGCCTTAATTTATGCTGTGAGTCTCTAGGAGAGGAATGCAATACTCCATTTCGTCAAGTTAGTGCCGTTCCACAGCAGAGATTCGAGGAAACAATGTTTTAAGATCACTTACTACATAAAAAGCAATTTTCTGGAACTGAAACTTCTCCATCTCAGAACCATAAAAGCTTCAGTTCATTGAGTATTACCTCCCAGGCAAAGTGTGGGACCCTCCCTTCTGACAGGCAGCCAGCCAGCCTGGCAGCAACCCTTGGGGATGAGGCTACCCCAAGAGTCCCACTTCACCTGGAACAACTGAGAAGGGCTTCTTTCTGGCTGACATTCCTTCGAATGCAACCAAGAGCCCAGAGCCCTAACCTCTCTCCCCCACCCCCAGCACCTCCTCCCTGACCGTTAGCAAGCAGCTAACACAGTGTGGGCCCTTCAAAATAATCCAATACTGCTGCATACAAATGCACAGCATAATCATTTGATTAGGGAAACATTTTAAAAAGAAAAAAGGTAGGGGCCGGCCCCGTGGCTGAGTGGTTGAGTTCGCGCGCTCTGCTGCAGTGGCCCAGGGTTTCGCCAGTTCGGATCCTGGGCGCGGACATGGCACTGCTCATCAGGCCATGCTGAGGCAGCATCCCACATGCCACAGCTAGAGGGACCCACACCTAAAAATATACAGCTATGTAGCGGGGGGCTTTAGGGGGAGAAAAGGGAAAAGTAAAATCTTTAAAAAAAAAATTAAAATTTTTTTTAAAAAAAGAAAAAAGGTAAAAAATATTTCCTTTTGGGCCTTCTCCCTGGCTGAGATAGTTGGAGGTGTGCTTGCAGAGTGTCTTAGAAGAAAAGCAGCTGATGACAGGGGCGCTGGACAGATGGAGCCCTCCTCGCTTCCTCCCACCGAAAGCAGAAGGAACCCGCGGCCACACTGCTGGCTTCTTAGCAGTCCTTGGCCCCAGACTGCAGTAGGGGAGGTGGCTGCAATAGGGGGATAAGGTAATAGGTGGTAGCTTCTCAGGCACATGGCTTTTTTGCCCACCTCTAAGTGGTCTCTGCTTGAGTGTGGTCCGTGTCACGGGTGAGGAGGGAGAAATATCTTCCCCTGGCCTCCGAGCTGACACATCCTGTGACATGTCTGGACTAGAGCATGACATCTGGTCAGCAACATGGAACAATATCCATGCCGCAGGTGCCCACCAGCAGACGGTCTGCTTCCAGGCCCCAGTGCCTGCCTCAGAAAGACAGTCCTGGCACTATGGCCTTCATTCTCTCCTCCAGGCCTGTGAGTCATTCAGGCCCTTGGAAAGCGAAGCTGTACCTCTGCTGGTACTAGCTTAGCTACTCCTAAAACTACCTTCCCTAGCTGGAACTCTGAGTGACTGAGGCTGTTCAAAGAGAGACGCCCATTGTCTGTGGCCAAAGTGTCACTGAGGACACCATCCCTTACGCTGTGCACTGCCCTTTTAGAGCTGCATCACTCGTTCCCACCCACGAATGGCTGCCTATCCTCCACTACAATATGGAGAGGGAGACCTTTGCCTTTGTTTCCCTTTGACCCCTGCTGCCAGTGTGCCACCTCAAGGCCTTTTAAAAAAAAAAGATGAGGGGCTGGCCCCGTGGCCGGGTGGTTAAGTTGGTGCGCTCCGCTGCAGGCAGCCCAGTGTTTCGTTGGTTCGAATCCTGGGGACGGACATGGCACTGCTCATCAAACCAGGCTGAGGCAGCGTCCCACATGCCACGACTAGAAGGACCCACAACTGAGAATATACAACTATGTACTGGGAGGCTTTGGGGAGAAAAAGGAAAAAGATAAAATCTTTAAAAAAAGAGATGATTGGGGGCCAACCCGGTGGCGCAGTGGTTAGGTTCACCCATTCCATTTTGGTGGCCCTGGGTTTGCCAGTTTGGATCCTGGCTGCGGACGTACGCACCACTTGGCAAGCCATGCTGTGGCAGCATCCCATATATAAAGTAGAAGAAAATGGGCATGGATGTTAGCTCAGGGCCAATCTTCCTCAGCAAAAAGAGGAGGATTGGCAGCAGATGTTAGCTCAGGGCTAATCTGCCTCAACAACAAAAAAAAGAGAGACAATTGTTAAATGAAGACACAGGGGCTACTTTCCAGTTAAAGGAAGACACAGGGGCTACTTTCTAGGTAAATGAAGACACAGGGACTACTTTCCAGTTCCTGCAAAACAGGAGGAAAACCAGCTGGGAGGCAGCTGTGGTGCACACAGTAGAAAGCACAGCAACACCTCAGAGGACTCGGGCTAGTTCCTGAAGTGGGCTCTTGGCGTCTCTTCAGTTTCCTGAGAGTTTTAATTAATCCCTTTAGAAAATGGGCTGATGCGTGTTACAGCACTTGGATCAGTGCTACAGGAACATACAGTAACAGGTATTTTTCCCCCCTAGACTCGGAGCTTGCTGTGGGCAGGGGGCGTCTTAGCCATCTCACCTGCTCTCCTGTTCCCAGCATGGCATTTGAAAGTGAGGAGGCCTCACTTAGGGTTTAGTGAATGAATGTTTAAGAGTCTGAAAAGTGAAATGGCAGCAGAATTGCAGGAAGCTGGGAGCTGCAGTTATGAAACAAGCTCATAAATGTTTAATTCTGGTTATGTCAATGCCAGAGAAAGCCCAGGCCAGACTGGTCTCAGAAGCAGTCTCCTTGCTTTGTCAGCAGATGAGCGGGGAAGGGACAGTGCTTTTTACTCTCAAGTGAGCCTGCGTCACTCTGACTTATGCAAGCCAAACTCCAGCCAGCTGAGTGGGAAAGGGCCCAACTATAGCCAGATGATAAACCTGCAAATCAGGGAGAACCTGGGGTGGGGAAGGGTGGGCTGGAGAGCCAAGAAGGCAACATGTCCAATCGGAATTCACCATCTTTTCCCCACCCCGAGTCAGCCCCACCCCTTTGTTCTGCTCTTCAACCTGGCAAAGCGAGCCCCATCAGATCCCTTTGTCCCAGCTAAAAACGTTGGAATCCTCAACTTGTCTATTCCCAACTGGTCCCCCAATTTGATCTCAGAAATTGTCCTTGAAGGCACCCTTGCTTCTCCATCCCCACTGCCACTGTCTCAGCTCAACTCCATTACCATCTCTTGTCTCCTGACTAGCCTTGCATCTTACCCAGTGTACTCTCCATGGTGCAGCCAGGGGTTTCTCTCCTGCTTTTACACCTTCATTGGCTCCTTGGGGCCTCCAGGATAAAGTCCAGGCCCCCACGTCCTGCCCTCTCCTTCCCCAGCCATACAGGACTACTTCTCACTCCCCAGATGCACTGCCCTGCAGGTACTCCTCCATGACTTTTGCACACTCTGTCCCCTCTGCCTGGGCTCTCTGTCTTGCTTACTGACCCCCAGCTTGAGTCTCTCCTCCTCCCTGAGGCTGTCCCAGATCCCTAGCCACAGTGAGCCCTATCTCTGCTAGCCCACCAACTACACTGTCCTATAACTGTTTTTTTTTTTTTTAGGGTATCTCTCCTTTCTGGACTGCTTGCCCTTAAAGGCAGGATCCTCACTATCCTTGTGGCTCTATAAGGAGAGTGCCTAGTGCCAGGTGCAGGGTAAGCACCAGCAAAGGTTTGCACAATGGCTGACAGCAGGCAAAGAAAATATGAGACTATGAGCACAGGACAGAGGCTGTGAAGAGCCAGATGCGAGGAAAAGAAGAGCCTTGGAGGCACCAGTAATGCTTAGGGTGTTCACTCTGGTGCATGGCTGTCACCGCCACCGGGCTCTGCATGTGCCATCACCTACGTGTGCAAGGCAATTATTTAAACTGCAGGCTGAGACTCATTAGTGAGGCATGAAATTAATTTCTTGAGTAACAACTGTCATTTAAAAAGTACAACGGAAATAGACTATACGTAGTAACAGTAAAAACTGTAATTCTTATTCCAATTCTGTGATATATAAACATATAAAATAAATGTGTATGCTGTGGGAAGCAAAAGAACATGGACTTCGAGTTTAAAATTGGGCTCCTCCACTGACTAGCTGCATGACTTTTGGCAGATTACGTATCCTCTCTGTGTCTCAGTGTCCTCATTTGATGGTAACCCCCATTTAGGGTTGCTCTGAGGATTCAATGAGGTAAATATATAAAGCACTTGGAATAGTACCTGGCACACAGTAAGGCCACATAGGAGTTTTTATTATTATTATTATTATTTATTATTATTGTTATGAGGCTCCTACATTGAGTTATGGTCAAAGGAATTTGAAAAACACTGGTATTAGGCACTTTATATGCATTATCCCATTTTATGTTGACAATTCTGTAGGTAATTATTATCCCTATTTTAATGACAGAGTAACTGAGTCACAGCTAAAGTGACAGCCCAAGGCCACAGGACTAGTAACTGGCAGCGCTGGGATTTCACCTCCACCTTGCTGCCATCTATACAACAGTAGGGCTAGAGATATGAGGGGGCCTAGAAGTGGGCTCTAGGGAAGGTGGGCCCCAAGGGAGAGGCTGGGGGCTAGGAATCTGCTAATTCATGGCAGGAAAGGTAGGCTGGGGCTCTGGTCTGTAGGCTCCTGCAGCCCAGCGCCCGGGCAAGGAAGGGGAAGTGCCGCAGGGCAGTGGGCGGTACTCACTTGCACTCAGCCTCCGCATCAGCCTTGGCAGTCGTGTAAAGACCACGCAGCTTTGTCCGGTAGTAGGGAGAGACTGCAGAGTAAAGACAGGGAGAAAGACATGGGTGAGGGGCAGCCGGCAGTAATGTGGCACTGCTTCTAGGACACCGGAATCAGACGTTGGGAGGCGCAGAGAGGCCATGGACCAAGGTATGAGATTTACTGGCTCAGAAGTGCTCCCCAAGGCCGACACTCCAAGTTCAACAAGTTTATATTTACATAGGGTACAAATGCTCTTGCTGCATCTAGGAGAGGACTTTCTAACCTTTGCCACAGCATGACACATGCAGAAAATATTTCTCAGCATGGGAGAAAACAGAAAACAATTCTCAAAGTTTCTCACAGCTGGAAAGCACCAGCCCAGGAGCCTGACTGTCTGAGGGCCTAGGGACACATGCAGGGCACTCGGGAGGGAACACTCTCCAGAAAACACCAGCCACCTGGGACGCCCGTGCACCCCAAGAGAGTTCCTGGATGCCTCATAACATTTCATTGACTTTCCAGTCCCTTGAGTTGGGGGATTCTAAGGTCCCTTAGTACTAGGCAGTCTGTCATCTGTCTCCTGGGTCACCTTAGGTCACCCAGCCTAAAAGAAAACTGTCCCTCTGGCCTAAGGAGCAGTTCATTTTGGATTACGCAGATAAATGCAAAAGTCCCTTTTGGAAATGCCAGCCATCTTCCCAGGCCTGGCCCACTCCTTTAGCCCCTTCTGTCCTGAGCCCAGCTACTCACTCTTGTTCTCTGTCTGCATCCGCTCGTGGGTCTTCTGGATATTCACTAAGTTGTGTTCGCTCCGCGAACGCTCTTCCTGCAAGGACAAGGTCAAGAGGACATGAGGGAGGCCCTCCATCCTGCTGTGACACCCTGTATTCCAGGCCAGAGGTCCCATAAATATGGCCCTCATTTTCTAAATCCAAATGCAGGATAAGTTCAAAAGGATTTTGTTCCCTGAGTAATACAAAAGCATTACAGAAGGCATTAAAGTTAAATCATAAGTTACACATTTAATGACTCTCCTTTATCAAAAAGAGGCAAACTGATCTACAGTCTCTACCTAAATTACAGCTGAATTCTCTGCAGAAATTGACAAGCGCATCCTAAAATTCATACGGAAATCCAAGGGACCCAGAATAGCTAAAAGAATCCTGAAAAAGAAAAGCAATGTTGGAAGACTCACATTTCCCGATTTCAAAATTTACTACAAAGCTACAGTAATCAAATAGTGTGGTACTGGCATATAGATCAATGGAATAGAACTGAGAGTCTGGAACTTAACACACATACCTATGATCAATCCATCTTGGGAAGAGGGAATGGGGAAGGATGCTGGTCAATTGTTCCCCACAACAGAGGTCCTGGGACTAGGGCTGCAACTAAAGATGCCAGAGGCAGGAATGATTCCTAAGGAAGAAATTGTAACTATACCTTTTAACCTTTATATCAGAACTTCTAAGTGCCTGAGGGGACGGGTTGTGCCTTCACTCCATCTGGAAAAATGGGGTCAAGAGTGAACACAGCGGTACTGCCTAGTGGTCAAAAGAGCCCACCAGTTCTGCACCTGTGTGACCCAAGTCTACCTGACTGGGAGTGGACTTGCTAGACCAGCGTGGCCGCCAGCATCAGGACCAGCACGGTATGGCCAAACCTATCGTCCTTCCAAAGGGAGAAAAGTTGGGGTAAAAATCAATGACAAATAGAAGGAGAAATAGTAGCTGAGGGTAAAAGAATGAATAAATGGATTATGCGATGAGGGAAATTAAATATTAATTACTATCTCAAGAGAGGTCAGAGCAAGGGAATAATATTGGCTCTTGGCTCAGTTCTACCAGATGACCAAAAGGGTGAAGCCACACGTTTGCCAAGACCACTCCTGCTTTTGGAACCTGACAAAGTCAAACAGATGCCTACAAACCTGAGTGGCATCCCTCTGAGAGACATTTTAGTTATGGTATACTGATAAACTAGACTAATGGTTGATGACTGAATGGAATTCTAGTAATGTGCCAGTATCTTTTTTCTTTATCTTTTAAATTTCATTAATAAAATATTTTTAGAGCAGTTCTAAGTTTACAGAAAAACTGAGCAGATAATAGAGAGTTCCCATATACTGCACCTGCTTTCCCCTGCACAAGTTTCACCAAATGAGTATAAAAATATGAAGATCTACCCCTACCCCACACTGGCTCCTCCAAACGTTAAGCATATTCATACTGATCCACTTGCTGTATCTGTTATATAAATGCTACACTAAATGTAGATAATCAGACAAATATGATTGTTTTGCTGTAAGAGGGCCAAGGTTGAGGGCCAGGGACGTGGTCTGTGCAATAAAAGATTAACTCAGCAGGCTTGGGTTTTCAAACCCTGCACCTTTCAAAAAAAGATTTGGCCCTTGACCAGCTCCTGGGAGATAAGCTCTAAACCCTTGGAATAGCTCGCCTGATAAGAGTATCTTTGTTTATCTGGGCCGACGAGGGGAGGAGAAGGGGAGTGAACTGCTATGGCATACCAGGCATTTTTGTGAGGTGATGAAAATGTTCCGAAACTGATGATGGTGATGGTTGCATAACTCTTGGAATATACTAAAAACCAGTGAATTGTACGTTTTAAATGGGTGAATTGTGGGTATGTGAATTATGCCTCAATATAGTTGTTATTAAACAAAAAGAATCATGAAATCCTACACAGGACAGAAAATCAAACAGGAATGGTAGTTCAGATTACATCATCTTGGTTCCTGCACGTCTAACCTCTCTGAACACAACACCCCCACCCCACCCCCTCTGCACTTCCGGGTCACAGCCCATGTTCCCCTCTAGGAGAGCAGGGCTGTGGCTTTTTTTTTGTTCCTTCTCCCCAAAGTCGCTCAGTACATAGTTGTATATTCCAGCTGTAGGTCCTTCTGGTTGTGCTATATGGGATGCCGCCTCAGCATGGCTTAATGAGCAGTGCCATGTCTGTGCCCAGGATCTGGACCGGTGAAACCCTGGGCCGTGGAAGCAGAGGGTGCGAACCCAGACACTTGGCCACAGGGCCAGCCCCAGGGCTGTGGCTTTTTACCTGGGTTTGCTTGATCAGCTGATGGAGCTCTGTGAGAAGTTCTGCAATTCGGGAATCAGCAGACACAAGGGCCATGGCATATGGGGTCACCTGGGGTGGAGGAGGAAGAGAAGAGAACTTCATTAGTGACTCTGGCAGGTTAAATTGTACCCTCCAGAAAGATACGTTGAAGTTCCAACCCCTGGTACCTGTGAATGTGCCCTTATTTGAAAAGAGGGTCTTTGCAGATGTAACAAAGATGTACGTTAAGATGAGGTCATACTGGAGTAGGGTGGGCCCTTAATCCAATATGACTGGGCTCCTTATGAGAAAAGGAGAAGAGACACAGAGACAGACACACAGAGAACACCAGGTGGAGAGACGGACACACACAGAGGGAGGTCAGCCATGTGACAGAGGCAGAATCAGAGTTACGCAGCTGCAAGCCTAGGAATGCCAAGGGTTGGAAGCAACCGCTGGAGGCTAGGAGAGGCATGCAACATTTTCTCCTTCTGAGCACCCAAGAAGGAACCCATCCTTGGGTTTGGAACCAAGTCGACCCCTCGGTTTTGGAATCCAGTCTCCAGAACTGAGAGAGAATATATTTCTGTTGTTTTAAGCTGCCCAGTTGGTGGTAATTTGTTACAGCGGCCCTAGAAAAACCAACGCAGTGGCAAGTTGTCCTGGAATTCTACCCCAATCCAAGGATGTCTGTATTTAATGTGTTCAACCAAGTCAAGGAGTACTTATGCAGTACCTTTCAAAAGCAGCATGCCCTAGGAGAAGGGGCAGAGCAAAATGGTGGGGTGAGCTGACCCGGGATTCTCTCCCCTCCAAAATACAACAAAGGATTGGAAAAACTGAATTTCAGAGACTAAATGTAATGCCAATACGTTAGAGACCTACAATACCAAGAAGGCGGAGATCATAAACCCTACTTACGGCCTCGGAGGCGCTGGAATGGTAGGAGAGAACGTTGCTCCCTCCCCTAGAGTCTGCGATCGCTGCGGCGCGGGTCGGGAAGGAGCGGGGGAGGGGCCGCGCGACCGGGGGATCCTCCAGGACTCCTGCCACTGGTTCAGTGGAGACCCGCTGACGGGGGGAAAGCTTCCGTCCACGGGGACCCCATAAACCCAGGGCCTCGGGAGACCAGAGAACAGAACTGATCTGAACCCAGACTGGCGCGTGTGAGTAACAGCCCCCGCCCCCCCCCCCCCCCCGCAAAGCCAGTGGGTGCAGCCATCTTGCCCCAAGGCGGAGCGCTCATGACACGCCACTCTCGAACCCCATCTAGTGGCGACAGGCTGTAACTGCAACTGAATTCTACCACCATGCGAAAAAAACGCTCCTCTACCATCCAGCAATTTATAAAAGCCCCAGACCAGAAGGAAAACAATAAAAACACAGAATTAAGTCCTGAGGACTTGGAATTAGGTAAACTAAATGATAATGAGTTCAGAGCAGCTATAATCAAAAAACTCAATGACGTAGAGAGAAAGATAGAGAAACAAGCCGAGTTCTGGAGTTATTTCACAAAAGAGATTGAAATCATAAAGAAGAATCAAACAGAATTACTAGAGATGAAAAACACAATGGCCCAGACAAAAGAGAATATGGATTCCCTGAATGCCCGTGTAGACACCATAGAAGAGCAAATTAACATAACTGAAGATAGACAGGCTGAATGGCTCCAGACAGAGGAAGAAAGAGAACTAAGAATTAAAAAAAATGAGGAAAATCTCCGAGACATAGTGGATTCAATGAGGAGTAAGAACATAAGGATCATAGGAATTCCCGAGAACGTGGAAAAGGAAAATGGAGTAGAAAGTGTGCTTAAGGAAATTACTGAAGAGAACTTCCCAAATCTAGGGATTGACAGAGAAATGCGTGTAGAGGAAGGTTTCAGATCTCCTAGATTTGTCAATGTAAAAGGACCTACTGCAAGGCACATAGTATTAAAATTGGCAAAAAGGAAAGATAAGGAAAGAATACTCAGGGAAGTAAGAAAAAAGAAGAGAATAACCTATAAAGGAGCCCCTATCAGACTGTCAGCGGATTTGTCTACAGAAACCTTACGGGCTAGGAGAGAATGGAGTGACATATTCAAAGCTTTAAAAGATAAAAATCTTCAGCCAAGAATACTCTATCCAGCAAGAATTTCCTTCAGATATGAGGGAGAAATTAAATCTTTTCCAGACAAACAAAAGTTAAGGGAATTTGTAACTAAAAGCCCTCCACTACAAGAAATCCTCAAGAAGGCTCTCATACCTGAAAAAAGAAAAAAGGGAGAAAGGGGTCACAGTCCACAGACTAGGGAGACCGATGGATAGAACCAGAACAGGATAGCAAATATTCAACTATAGCATTAGGGTAAAGGTAAGGAAACTACCAAAGCAAGGACGATCTTATCACTCTAACTACATATTCATAACATGAGTTGGAATAAGAAATGAAAATAATTATTTAGGAGGGGAAGAGCAAAGGGTCTAAATCAGTATTGGTCAAGTAAGTAAGAGACCACCAGAGAACAGACTATATTATACACGAGATTCTAAATACAAACTTCAAGGTAGACACTAAAATAAAGTAGAGAACAGAGTCACAAATCAAAAATAAGGAAAAATCTAAGAAACCCAGCATAAGAAATTGCAGTATTAAATGGGTAGGCTAAAGCACACAGGAAAAGAAACACAGGAAAACAAGATAATGAGGGACAGATTGACAGCATTAAGTCCACATGCATCAATAATCACTCTCAATGTGAACGGATTGAACTCTCCAATAAAAAGACACAGAGTGGCAAAATGGATTAAAGAACAAGATCCAACAATTTGTTGCCTCCAGGAAACACACCTCAGCCCCAAGGACAAACACAGGCTCAGAGTGAAGGGGTGGAGGACAATACTTCAAGCTAATAGCAAGGGAAAAAAGGCAGGTGTTGCAATTCTTATATCAGACCAAGTGGATTTCAAAATAAGACAAGTAATGAGAGAGACAGAGGGACAATATATAATGATCAAAGGGACACTTCATCAAGAAGAAATAGCGCTTATAAATATCTATGCACCCAACACAGGAGCACCAAGATTCATAAAGCAACTATTAACAGACCTAAAGGAAGATGTTAAAAACAACACAATAATAGTAGGGGACCTCAACACCCCACTCACATCAATGGACAGATCATCCAGACAGAAAATCAACAAGGAAATAGTGGAGCTGAATGAAAAACTAAAACAATTGGACTTAATAGACATATATAGATCACTTCACCCTAAAAGAGCTGAATACACATTCTTCTCAAGTGCACATGGAACATTCTCAAGGATAGACCATATGTTGGGAAACAAGGCAAGCCTCTACAAATTTTAAAAAATTGAAATAATAACAAGCATCTTCTCCAATCATAGTGCCATAAGGCTAGAAATTAATTACAAGAAAAAAGCTGAGAAAGGCACAAAGATGTGGAGATTAAACAACACACTACTGAACAAGAAATGGATCATTGAAGAAATTAAAGAAGAAATCAAAAAATACCTGGAAACAAATGAAAATGATAGCATGCCATACCAACTCATATGGGATACAGCAAAAGCTGTATTAAGAGGAAAGTTCATTGCAATACAGGCACATCTTAACAAACAAGAAAAATCCCAAATAAGCAACCTTAAAGTACACCTAACTGAACTAGAGAAAAAAGAACAAATAAAGCCCAAAGCCAGCAGAAGGAGAGAAATAATAAAAATCAGAGCAGAAATAAATACTATTGAAACAAAAAAGGCAGTAGAAAGGATCAATGAAACAAAGAGCTGGTTTTCTGAGAAAATAAATAAAATTGACAAACCTCTAGCCAGACTTACAAAGAAATAAAGGGAGAAAGCTCAAATAAACAAAATCAGAAATGAAAGAGGAGAAATAACAACAGACTCTGCAGAAATACAAGGGATTATGAGAGAATACTACAAAAAACTATATGCCAACAGAATGGATAATCTAGAGGAAATGGATAAATTCTTGGACTCCTACAATCTCCCAAAGCTCACTCAAGAAGAGGCAGACAATTTGAACAGACCAATCACAAGGAAAGAGATTGAAACAGCAATCAAAAACATCCCAAAGAATAAAACCCCAGGACCAGATGGCTTTCCTGGGGAATTCTACCAAACTTTCAGAGAGGATTTAAGACCTATCCTTTTCAAGCTATTCCAAAAAATTAGGGAAGATGGAACACTTCCTAACACATTCTATGAGGCCAACATCACGCTGATACCAAAACCAGACAAGGACACCACGAAAAAAGAGAACTAAAGGCCAATATCACTGATGAACATAGATGTAAAAATTCTCAACAAAATTTTGGCAACCAGAATTCAGCAATTCATCAAAAGGATCATACATCATGATCAGGTGGGATTCACACCAGGGACACAGGGATGGTTCAACATCTGCAAATCAATCAACGTGATACACCACATCAACAAACTGAGGAATAAAAACCACATGATCATCTCAATAGATGCAGAGAAAGCATTTGATAAGATCCAACAGCCATTTATGATAAAAACTCTGAACAAAATGGGCATAGAAGGAAACTACCTCAACATCATAAAGGCCATATATGACACACCCATAGCCAACATCATACTCAATGGGCAAAAACTGAGCGCCATCCCCCTGAGAATAGGAACGAGACAAGGAAGCCCTCTATCACCACTCTTATTCAACATAGTACTGGAGGTCCTGGCCAGAGCAATCAGGCAAGAAAAAGGAATGAAAGGAATCCAAATAGGGAGGGAAGAAGTGAAACTCTCGCTGTTTGCAGACAGCATGATCTTATATATAGAAAACCCCAAAGAATCCATTGGAAAACTCTTAGAAGTAATCAACAACTACAGCAAAGTTGCAGGGTATAAAATCAATTTGCATAAATCAGTAGCATTTCTATACTCCAATAATGAACTAACAGAAAAAGAACTCAAGAACACAATACCATTCACAATTGCAACAAAAAGAATAAAATACCTTGGGGTAAATTTAACCAAGGAAGTGAAGGACCTATATAATGAAAATTACAAGGCCTGTCTGAGAGAATTGGATGACGACATAAGGAG